AAAGAGTGTGCTTAGCAGAAAAACGTGTCATCTGGAATCTGTTTTTAGTTTCATAACTAGGATGGGGACTCTGGCTAACCAACCAGAAGGAGAGGTCCTTGACAGAACTATTACTCCAGTACAAGGAGGATTCCTAAAGGCACAGCAAATTGAAATCAGCTATGTATTGAACCTGTTCTCTACTGTCTTTGTAAATACACATGGAACCTGGTATCAAGGTTCAAGAGACTTACAGAAGGTAAAATCGGGAACCCAACGAGTCAATTAATTAGTGGGTGCATATCAACCTTCTGTGAGAAGTTCTGAAAGTAAGAATGATGCATTTCGGTGAGCAGCTTGGCACGTGACTTGGACATAAACGTGTGCACAGTTCATTCAATCTGCAGGGAACGCTAACTGGTAAGAGACAGAGGAGAAAACCTGGCTACCTGGCAATTCAGGAGAACTATACCTGGAGTTGACCTCAGAAGCAAATTCAGGAGGAACTGACGATGTGAGGCAATAGCAAAACACACACCGATAGTCAGAGGCTCTACTAATATACAACATGGTGAAGTTCAAACCGGAGACAGGCTACTAGAGGCTACAGAGGCCATAGCCACAGGACCGTGCTTGCTCCGACCTGACACCTCAGTGGGAACGCTGGTAAACAAAAGTGTGTACCCAGTAATGATGTCACAGCAGGGGAAACATCTGAGATGCCCTCGACTTGCAGGGGAGCTTGAGGAAAATGTGCCTAAGGATGCGTTCTGGAAAAGACCGGCTCCCTCTGTGCGAAGTTTCGGAGTCTCACTTTAACAGGGCTCTGGGCAGTGGTAAGGGCAGCCTATCGGAAAGTATCCCTTCCCTAGAGGGTTTGAAGCACAGACTGAATGATTATGTCAAGATATGTCATAAAAACTATCTACGGAGAAGGGCAAATAGAGACTGAGATTGTGTAACTTCCAATATCTCTTTTGATACTTAGATTCTATGCTTGGACAATAACTTTGTGCATATATGTATGTTAAGAAATAATAGGAAAAGAGCGTATATGTGTGTGTGTGTGTGTATATTGATAGGTGGCCTGTGTGCTCACCCAAGGGAGACACACCTAAAGCACCCCCGGGAGGGATGGCCACACCGCAATTCCTTCTCCAGTTCTCCTGGGATTTTGGACATACATGAACACATGCCTGGAAGGGTTTTCAAGACACCAAGTTCGTGGCTTGCACTGCACAGATGGTTATGTGGGATCCAACAGCCTTAACCACCACGCCTCTGACTGGCTCTATCTAAATTAATGAACAATTACTAATCAGTACTTGAAAATGAATAAATCGTTTGCCCTAGTCAGTCAGGCAGCTTAGAGGAAGGTCGAGGAGTTGCTCACTGCACTAGGATGTCACAGATCACTCATCGGCAACCTCCCCTTTTCTGTAGGCATCTCGCTAGGTACTGGGCAGTACCTACATAAAGAGGTATCTGGTACCTCTGTGTATGTTTGGGGATGGGGAAGAGAGTTGACAATCTGTGGCAGGAATAAACATATAAAGAAATAAATGCAACATAGAATTTGCACAAAGGAAGCCACAGGAAGTGAGGGGGAGACCATCTGAAAATCCTCTAGTTTAAAAAAAAAAAAAAAAGAACTTGGGGCCAGCAGGCAGCGTAGTGGTTAAGGCGCTGGACTTCCACAGCCGACAGCCATTCGAGTGCTGGAGCCAGTGGCTTGAAACTCACACCAGGCATGTGTGCATGTGCACCCAAGATTCTGAAGGCAAATGGAGGAAAGGAATTGTGGTATGGCCATTCCCCAGGAGGTGATTTCTTGGCTTTCTGTCTGTCTCTGTGGCAAGTGCACATACACGGCAGCAAAAATAAATTCTTTTTTTCTCTCAAACAAAAATTTAGTCCACTTCAGTCTTTTTTTTTTTTTTTTGGAGAGATTTTTGCTATGGGGTGCGTGCGGTCGCCAGAAAGACAGAGAAAGACAGAGAGACAGAAAGCGAGAAATCACCCCCCAGGGGAACAGCCACGCTGCAATCCCTTCTCCTCCATTCTCCTCTCAGGAACTTGGGCACGCATGCACACGTGCATGGCATGTGTTTAAGCCACTGGGTCCAGGACTCGAACTGCGGTTGACTACATGGGAGTCCAGCGACAGAGCCATTACACCAACTGCTGGTCCCGCATCCTTTTTTTTTTTTAAAGAGAGATTTTGCTATAGAGTGTTGGTACTTGCCAGAGAGACAGACAGACAGAAAGCAAAACATCACACCCTCCCCCAAATGGGATGGCCATGCAACAATCCCTACTCCTTCAATTTTTTCTCAGATTTTGGGCACGCATGCACATGTGCCTGGCATGAGTTTGAACCCATCAGATCTGGGTACTTGGACCATGTGGGAGTCCAGTGACATAACCATTACACCATCTGCTAGTCCCAGTCCACTTTGGTCTTGGTCCAAAACTATTTCAAAGTGTGTAAGTTCAATAGGAATAGCACCGCCTCACAAACCCCACTTAAAAGAAAGGAAATTATGGGCATTTTGAAAGTCATCCTCACATTTCAGAGAGTATGTAGTGAGTCCAGAGAGGGTTGGTGGTTGTGATTTTTCAATTCCTTCCCTTTCCCCACTTGGAAAAAAGAAAAAAAAAAAAAAAACTCCATTCCTGAGTGGAGGGAAAAAAAGGGGGGCTGTCGCAGCAGCAATGCCGAGCGGCTGGCTGTCCAGCTGGCAGTCCCGCAGACCACGTCCAAATTCCAGACTGGAAAACAAACCCGCTCAAGATATTCCAACGGAAAGTTCACAGGCAAGGTCCTGATTCAGCCCTGGTAGACTATCGCACCCAGAAAATAAATCCAAGCGACCGTTATGAGGGGCCGCAAACCAAGTGTGGGGCTGAGAAGAGCCTGCCCTGTGAGATAATGTTGATTGCTGGGGTGAAGAGGAGGGAAGACTGAAGGAGACAGGGAGGAACGAGGACCATAAAACCATTCTAACTCCCACTGTTAGGGCTGGACGGAGGCAATCCCTAAAGGCAAAGTTAACCCATGTCCTGTGCCACATGTGCTGGGGAGCTTCCAACCTTAACAAAATCTTTCCTTTCGTCTTACAGGGCTCCTTCCTACGGAATACAGCAGAGCAGCACATCAGTCTAAGTAAGACCGTGCTGGCTTCAATCTGGGTCTGAACACATGTGAGACGCAGATCTCAGGCGAGAAGTCATTTAACCCCTGTCGGTCTGCATTTCCACTGTGAATGGTAAGACCGGATCAGCACGTCCCTGGAAGGGTTTAGTGGCAGTTGAAACGATTTACAAGTGTAGCAACCAGAATTCTAGTCCTCAGCAGATAGCAGGGGTGTGATAAATTTACCTAACAAAGGGAAATAAGGCCTCGTTAACTGTTCACATGATGATTGAGTGCATATCCAGAGGGCAGTTCCTTAGCACTGACCGAGGCGGGGCTGGTCCTGTCTTACCATCCATACAGAAATCTGTCTGTGATTTTTTTGAGCACTGGCCTATTCGCTCTTGATTTTATTTGTAAATTTTGCTATGGGGCATGTGCAGTCACATGAAAGGAGAAGAGAGAGAGAAAGAAGTGAGAAAGTACTCCCTTGGGAGCCGGTCCTGGCGCAATCCCTTCTCCTTCATTCTCCTCTCAGGATTTTGGGCACACATGCGCATAAGGCCAGCAAGTTCTCCAAGACACGAGGTCTGCGACTCAAACTGCGCAGCCAGCAGTGTGGGATCCAGCCGCTTAAACCACCACCCCACCAGCTGGCCCACCATTATCCTTTTAAAAGCTAGCAGAACATGTACTTTTTAAGACGCTATCTAGTAATTTCATTTGGATTTAAAATGACATATATGCAAACAAATTGTAGTGGGGGAAGAGTAAGAAAACATACCAACGAAACCCACAGGTCTTTGTTAAACCATGCTCACCACCTAGCTTGTATTTTTCCAGTAGCGTGGGGTATACAAAGGCACCTTAAGGGGCCAGCAGATGGCACAGTGGTTACATCTCTGGATTCCTACATGGTTGACCGCAGTCTGAGTCCAAGATCTGATGGTTTGAAATCATGCCAGGTACGTGTGTGTGTGTGCGCCCAAGGTCCCCAGAGGAGAAAGGATTGTGGCATGGCCATTCCCCCTGGGGGGGTGACTTCTCACTTTCCCTCTCACGACCTCTGTCTGTCTCTGGCAAGCACATGTGCCCCAAAGTAAAAACCTCAAAAAAATAAAATAAATAAATAAATAAATAAATAAATAAATAAATAAATGAGGGATTTAAAACTATTATCAGGTCAGTTTCATAACCTGGTGGTTAAGGCCGTTGGATCCTACATGGCTGACTATGCGGTTTAAATCCCAGGCCTGGTGGCTTGAGAAACATGTCAGGTGCCATGTACACATATGCACATATCCCCGAAATCCTGAAGGAAAGGAGAAATGGAGAGAAGGGATTTCAGCCTGATGATTCCTCATGATGGGTGTTTTTTCCTCTCCCTCTTTGTCTTTCTGGAGAGCCCTCTAGCAAAATAAAAACAAAAACAAAAATCTTATATGACCTAACACTATCACTTCCAAGAAAACACTTCTATAAAGTTAAAAAGAAGAAACCTACAAGACAAAACACTTGGCATTCATAAAAAAGTATGTCTAAAACAAAAACAGATTCGAAGTTCAACAGCATAATCCTGATCTCAGATTCTGTTAAACTAAAGTTTTAAAATAATCCTTCTAAAGAGGTCCAACTGCTTAAACTTGGAGTTAGGGTATGGAAAGGGGCTATGAAAGTCAAAATTATGCCATGGGGAAAGAACTCAGGGGTTTAAAAGTCCTTTTTTCTAAAATGAGTAAACCAAACATAACATGTGGAGAAGAAACTTCCTTTTATGAATATTGAAATTGTGAGGCAACCTCACTAATGAACCTTTATTTGGCAGAAAGTTCGCTGCTTGGGGGTTGGGAGCTATTACACTTTTAGAGAAAGTCCCAAACAGTTTAAGGAACCAAAACATAGGAAGTCGTACACTTTTAAGTAGAAAGATTCTAGGGGGCTGGATGGGGAAAGTGGCAGCTAAACCTCTGAACGGGGTCAGTCTTGTAATATGTGGAGACACTAAACATCACCATAGATAATAACATCCTTTAAGCGTGCTATCAAAAAATGAGACAGAAACAGATAGGAATACCATCCATCTTTGTTTTCAATACCTCCATAAAAGTCAGAGCTGAGAATCAACAGGAAAACTGTCTGCAGAGAGAAGAGCTGCACAGCTTCTTTCGAAATGTATTATTATTGCAGGGTACTTACTGGTAACCTATTTCTAAAAAGGCCAGCAAACAAAGAGGACTGCTCTTTTTTTTTTTTTTTTCTTTTTAAAGAGGGATTTTTTGCTGTAGGGTATATGTGCTTACCAGAAAGACAGAGAGAGATAGAGAGACAGAAAGCAAAAAATCACCCCCCAGGAGGGATGGCCATGCCACAATCCCTTCTCCTTCATTCTCCTCACAGGATTCTGGGCACGCATGCACACACACTCGGTGTGAGGTTAAGCCACTAGGTTTACGACTTGACCCGCAGTCAACTATGTGGGAATCTAGCAACATAACCATTGTGCCCTGTGCTGGTCCCAAAAAGCATGTCAGCAACAACTAGGAACCAAGTAAGCAGGGGCTATACTGGGTTAAACAGAGTCAATAACTCAGATTACAAATCATCAATGTCTGCTTAGCGGCTTCAGGAACAGACTCAGACCCACAATCACTCCCCATCTCTTTTGTCGAACAGCCCCCAATGGAGTAAGCAAGTGGGAGACAACAGGACACAGAGACGTGAAAGAACAGACCTACCGACATACATGCAAGGTGGCTGACACCAGGTTAAAACGTGGGAACAACACTTAACCACAAGTCTCACTAGTAAGCCATGTCTTCAGAGCATCCTACCTCCATCTCTTGTTATTGATACCTCACAGGTGCTTCAGGGAACACTATTCCTGAGGCTACTTCAGAAACCCAAGTGTTCTGGGGCCAGCAGGTGGCATAGTGGTTACAATTGCTGGACTCCCATGCAGTTGACAGCAGTTTAAGTCCCAGACCTGGCAGCTTAAAACTCACGCCATGTGCATAAGTGCCCAAGATCCTGAGAGGAGAAGGGATTGTGATGTGGCCATTCCCCTCTGGGGGGTGATTTCTCACTTTCTGTCTCTGTCTCCTGTGAGCGCAGGTGACCTATAACAAAAATAAATCTCTCTCTCTCTCAAAACAAACAAAAACACAAACAAACAACCACCACAAAACGACTATTCTCAACTCTGGCTACAGGGAGGGGAACCGCAAAAGCTTAGAAAGATTCTGATGCCCTGGTTCAATTATACTGGAATCCCTAGGGGCAAAACCCAACATGGGCATATATTTAAGAGCATTAAATGTATCCTTAACATATACATTTATAGTTTTGTATAATATGCAAGTATGTATGTGATGTGATAAAGATATATTAATGCATTAAAAACCTGCATGTATGTGATATAAACAGTTAATGTATCATGTATACGTATACATGTGTACAAAAAGTCTGTGTCAATGCATATGCACAGCACAGAAGCCTTCAAAAGTAAATAAATCATAAAGCCATATACGAAGTCTTTACTACCGAACTGAAATGAACAGTGTGCTCATCTTTAATTCTGAGACAAAATTCTTATAAATCAAGTCACGTATCTCCCTTCCTTGGATGTACTATGTGGCTTGTTAAGAAAAGGCAAATGTCGGGAACCAATAGTTGGCGTAATGATATGTCGCTAGACTCCCACGTAGTCGACCGTGGTTCGCGTCCCGGACCCGGTGGCTTAAAACTCACACCGGGTGTGTGTGTGTGTGTGCCCAAGATCCCGAGAGGAGAAAGGAGGAGAAGGGATTGCGGCGTGACCATCCCCCCTGGGGGGTGATTTCTCGCTTTCTGTCTCTATGTCTCTGTCTGGCTAGCGCACACGCCCTATAGCGAAAACCTCTCCCCCCCCCAAAAAAAAAATGACAAATGTCCATATCAACGCTCTGTTATTAGGGAGGAACAGAGGCTCTGAAAGATGGGGATTTTGGACACAGTTATTGGGATGAATTAGAAGATGGAAAATCCCTGCTTACCTGGGCTCTGCTTGGAAGGTAAAAGAGACGCTGCATCAGGGCATGGCTCAATGGTACACCAGCTCTCTCGGTTTATCTGAAGGAAAAAGAAAACGGTGAGCGTCAGACAGTGAAGTAACATGGGATGTTCTACACCTGAGGAAAACAGAGCTACAGGGTTGGCTCGATGCTCAAGTAACAGTGGATCCACATGGAGTATCATCGGTTTAGACCTGGACTTCTACGTGGCTGACTGTAATTCGAGTCCCAGACCTGGCAAGATGAAAATAATGCATGTGTGTATGTGTGTGCCCAAAATCACAGGAGGAGAATGAAGGAAAAGTGAGTGTGGCATGGCCATTCTCCTTGGGGGGTGATTTTTTCAGTTGCCCTCTGTCTCTCTCAGGTGCGTACGCACATCCTACAGCAGAAATCATAAAAAACAAACAAATTTGAAAAAAAAAAGTGTATCTCCAGTACGAATACTATATTTAAAAAAAATATGTTACTGCAGATTATTAAGAAAAGTCTTCTCACAATACTACCAAGCTTAAGTCATACTGAAGACCCTAGAGACTGTCAGTTTAAAAGTCAGGACATACAAAAGCAATAGGAAAAGATATGCAAAGATGAAGAAGCTAATCACCAAATTAGCTATGGTGAGGGTGAATGAAATAAAAATATGTAAGTGATGCCCTAGTTTGCAAGTTAAAACACACACACACGAATCATTCCTATTTAAGAATTACTATCGATCCACCTGTGGTGCACGCTGCTAAGATGCTATGCTGCACAGCCAGGGACCAATCAGAAGTCCTGGGTTTGATTCCCAGTCGAGCTCAAGGTCAGGGGCAGTATTGTGTGTCTGTAATCCCAGGGACTCAGGGAGGCAGGGGCAGAATTGCAAGTTCAAGGTTGGCCTTGGCAATGCAGTGAGATACTATCCAAAAAAAAAAAAAGGGAGAGTGAGTGGTAATGCAGATTTGCGGTCTCAGTTGCAAGGTTGATGCAGGAAGACTGTGATGTGGCAAGATACCGTCTTATCGAAAATATAAAATAAAAGGCTGGCCCTGAAGCCTAGTGTAAATGGAGCTGGCTGACCTTGGTTTGAATCCCAGCCCAGGAGGCTTCCACACCACTCCAGAAGAGTGTACCTGCCTGTGCGGAATCCCACCAGGATGGAGAAAAAGAGATTACAGTGTGACCACATCCCACCACTCCCCAGGGCTCATGGTACCTTCTGGTCTTAAAAAAAAAAGGGGGGGGGAATTACTATATACCAGGTATCACATTAAGAATGCTACAAATATAACTCACTGAATCACCAAATTAGCTATAAGAAGCTTCTATTATCTCTGTTTATCCCAAGAATAAACAGGCTTAGAGAATTGCTGAGGTAACAAGTAGCAGAACTGGGTCCCAGATGTGAACTGATGTGATTCTAAAAAGCAAATATTTTCTCTATCAAAGTAATAAAAAATAAAAATTTTAGCCTTTACAACTTCCCTGTATGTGCCATAAAAAAAACAAACAAACAAACCCCCACCGACACGTCCTATGGTACAAGACAAGTCTCAAATTTAAGAACGTTGAAATCTGTGGGGTCACCTGGGAACACAGCAGTAACACAACACTGCGATGCTGGACCACTATAGGAAAGGGCCCATGATCTATGCTGGTTGGGGATGGATAGTGGTTTAGAGACTCCATGGAGGGAGCCTATCTTTTCCTGTCTCTAGACTGTCTCTCTCATCAAATAATTAAACTTTTAAATAATCCCACATAGTAGTTCTCTGATCACAAAAGCACTAAATTAGAAATCAAAACCTGAAGCTATCTGGAAAACACCCAAATACTTAAATTTTTTTTTAAAAATCCATACTTTCAAATAACCCATCAATCAAATAAAAAAGGAGAATTAGAAAATATTTAAAACGGAATAAAAAGAAAAACACCACATAAAAATTTGGGGCAAACAACTAAAGCAGGACCTAGAATAACATTTGTAACATTACATGTCTATATGAGAAAAGAAGGTCCCAATCAATGCTAGACAGACCAAGAACAAAAGAATAATCACAAATTACTGGTATCAGGAATTAAAGAACATCACTACAGATACTATAGACATTGTAAGAATAAAAGATTATGAAAACATCACTGTAATAAAATTTTAAGTTACATAAAATGGAAACACTCCATAAAATTATACTAATTACATGAGACCAGTAGTTGGCATAATGGCTATGTCACTGGACTCCCATGTAGTCGACCGCGGTTCAAGTACCAGACCTGGTGTCTAAAACTCACGCTGGGCGCGTGTGCGTGCGTGCCCAAGAGCCCAAAAGGAGAATGGAGGAGAAGGGATTGCCGCATGACCATTCTCCCTGGGGGGTGATTTCTCACTTTCTGTCTTTCTCTGTCTCTGTCTGTGTCTTTCTGGAAAGCGCACATGCCCTATAACAAAAACCTCTCAAAATTTTTTTTTAAAAATCCATACTTTCAAATAACCCATCAATCAAATAAAAAAGGAGAATTAGAAAATATTTAAAACGGAATAAAAAGAAAAACACCACATAAAAATTTGGGGCAAACAACTAAAGCAGGACCTAGAATAACATTTGTAACATTACATGTCTATATGAGAAAAGAAGGTCCCAATCAATGCTAGACAGACCAAGAACAAAAGAATAATCACAAATTACTGGTATCAGGAATTAAAGAACATCACTACAGATACTATAGACATTGTAAGAATAAAAGATTATGAAAACATCACTGTAATAAAATTTTAAGTTACATAAAATGGAAACACTCCATAAAATTATACTAATTACATGAGACCAGTAGTTGGCATAATGGCTATGTCACTGGACTCCCATGTAGTCGACCGCGGTTCAAGTACCAGACCTGGTGTCTAAAACTCACGCTGGGCGCGTGTGCGTGCGTGCCCAAGAGCCCAAAAGGAGAATGGAGGAGAAGGGATTGCCGCATGACCATTCTCCCTGGGGGGTGATTTCTCACTTTCTGTCTTTCTCTGTCTCTGTCTGTGTCTTTCTGGAAAGCGCACATGCCCTATAACAAAAACCTCTCAAAAAAAAAAAAAAATCATACCAATTACCAAAACTCACTCAAAAGACATCAATAACAAAATTTTAGTTCAAAAAATTCCCAGCCTAGATGGCTTCAGTGGTGAATGCCACCAAACATTTTAGGAAGAATATCAATTCTACACAAACACAGAAGAGGCAGTACCATAATTTCATTTTATAAGCACTGACCTGACACCAAAAACAGAGACATAAAAAAAATATATATCAAAATTCCACATGGACATAGAGGCAAAACCTTAAATAACAAGTTAGCTAAATAGAGTCTAGCAATACATAAAATAGAGAAATCATGATCAAGTGGGTTCATTCAGGCATACAAGGCTGGTTTAGGTTTTAAAAACTAATTTTATTAACAAACAAACAAAAACACAAAAACAAAAAAATCCAAAACACAGAAAACAAAAAACACTAATGATTATTAATAGATTAAAAGAATTTGGCAAAATTAAACATCTGAATTATTCATGATAAAACTCTCAGAACATTAGGAAAAGAAAGGAAGTTCTTCAACTCTGTAAAGGGAATCTACAAGAAAACTACCATTAACATCTTTTTTTTTTTTAGAGAGATTTTTGGTACAGGGTATGTGCTTTCACCAGAGAGACAAAGACATAGTGAAAAATCACCCCCCAGGGAGGATGGCCATGCTGTAATCCCTTCTCCTCCATTACCCCCTCGGGATTTTGGGCACACATGCACCTGGCCTGAGTTTTAAGCTGCCAGGTCCAGGACTCGAACTGCAGTGGACTACATGGGAGTCCAGTGACACAACCATTATGCCATCTGCTGACCCTATCATATTTTTTAAGTTTTCTTTTTCAGAGAGATTTTTGCTACAGAGCACATGCGCTCACTGGAGAGAGAGAGAGAGTGAGAACAGCCTCCGCCACCCCACCCCCAAAATGGCCGTGCCATAATCCCTTCTCCTCCATTCTCCTCTCAGGATCTTGAGCAGACACGCACAGGCATCTGGCTGGAGTTTTAAGCCACCAGGTGTGGGACTCGAACTGTGGTCAACTACATGGGAGTCCAGTGATGTAACCATTATGCTGCCTGTTGATCCTTCATATTTAATTTCTAAAAAAGCTTTTTTTTTTATTCTGAGATCAGGAAACAAGACAAAGATGTCCACTCTCATCCCTGTTATTCAACATTGTTCTGGAGGTTGTAGCCAGAGCAGTAATATAGTAAAATAAATAAAACACATATAACTACGAAGGAGGAAGTAAAACTTCCTTTATTCACAGATAGCATGAATCCTATGGAATCTACAAAAAATATCACCAGAATAAATGATTTAGCAAGGTTGCCAGGCCATATTTTTAAAAAGTCAGTATTTAAAAATATCAATGCTACTTCTATATACTAGCAATGAGTGATTAGAAAGTTAAAGAAAAAGCAATATAATTTACAATAGCATCAAGAAATATAAAATAATTACGGGCAATTTTGGGAAAACGAATAAGAATGGTACTTCAAAAACTATAAAACACTGAAAGAAATTAAAGCAAGCCTAAATACATACAGAAACAGAGCGCGATTACAGATCAGAAATTTCTAGTTACTGATTCTCCCCAAACTCATCACTACGTGATTCTGTGAGTTACTATCAATATAACAGCTACTCTAATCAAGACAGTGTGCTATTGGTGTAAAGACAGACATAACGACCAATGGAAGGGAAGAAAGAGGTCATTAATAGATCCTTAACAGACAGGGTCCTTATCTTGACAAAGATGGCAAGACATTTCAATAAAACAGTAGTCTTACGAACAAATGCTGCTGCAATCACTCAATATGCACTAGCAAACAAACAAAATGTCCAACTCTCAAAGCTTTATCATATATAAAAATGAACCAGAAATAGACGGCATATCTAAATGTTAAAGTGAAAACTATAAAACTTCTAAAGAAAGCATAAAACATTCTTGGGACTTTGTGTTAGGCAAAGATTTCTTAACAAGTATACATTAAAAAATAAAAG